ATTCAGCTGTTTACTTGAATTCTCTTTGATTTTATTCAGCTACTTACTAGTATCCTCTTTGCAGTCATTCAGGTGCTTATAAATGTCCTCTTTAACTTCATTATCATTCTTATTGAATTTTTCTTGAGTTTGTAGTTTGAAATTTTGTCTGCTTCACTATTGTTCAAGTCCTTTATTGTGGGATTGTTGACTTTTGGAGAAGTCATGTTGACTTGTTATTTCATATTTCTTGTGTTTCTATGTTGGGATTCATGCATCTGAGACCCAGATTTTGACTAGAGGTTTTAATCTCTCCCTTCAGTAGTACTTTTCAGAATGCTTAGGCAAGATTGTGTAGGAGCTGCGTTATGCTGGTTTTTTTTCTTCTCATCATTAGAATGGAGGGTGTAGTTCAGTGTCAAACATTCATCCACAGTGGCAAAGATACTGGCTCCAGTCCCATTACTCCACTTAGGGAGAGGAAGCTCAATTGTAGAAGCAATCACAGTTGATAAACACCCACTATAAGAATACAGTAATTCATAATAAAGACAAATCACTGCTACTGCTCTAATATCTTAAGAGAAATAAAAAAGCAAAGGTGATAGTGCATTGACTAGGAAGACCTTGTTAGTAAGGATGTTAATGGGAAAGAGAAAGGGAGAATAATGCTAGTGAATAGTACTACATGTAATGTATTATAAGTCTGGGAGGACTGTGGCTACATTTAATAGAAGGAACTAATGAGAAAGTGGAATTAAATAGGTAGAATAGATCTAGCTAATGTATAAGGAAAAAGAAAGGAGAAAGAGAAAAGAAGGAAAATAAACAGACAAACAAACAAAAATGATCTGGCAATCCAGATCAAACAAAGAAGGGAATAGAGTTAAGAGTTAAAATAAGCAAAATAACTACTCTCATTGTAGATGGAAAGAAAGTAGGAGATATGATTAAAGACTGGGTATTGTGGCTCACATATAATAACTGTAAAAAAAAAAAAAAACAACAAGGCAGGCACAAAAAGCAGAACCAAAAAAACAAAACAAAACAGTGAGAAAGAACAAAATTATCCAAAACAAACTTACAAAAAAAAATCACAAAGACCAGATAAAACAAAACAAAAACCAGTTAGCATTGCGTTTTTTGCTCTCAAGGAGACAGCTATGGTTTTTGTTTGTTTTTTTAAGACTGAACTGCTTACTGTAGTTAGTGCAGCCTGGTTTGGAGTCAGCTCAGTGGCATGGTAACTTCTCTGAGTTCTGGGCTGGTTCCCTAGTGAAGGAAGGTAGATTTGGAGTTCTGATTATAGGCACTCTTAATCACACAGTTCCCAATCACTCCCCACTTAATGTGTGGTGTGCTTCCTCTGCCAGGTTCCTGCCAATTCACAGTCTGTTGTTCTCAGAATAGGTGCCCTTCAGTTCCTGGGTCAGAGACTGCCGATCTGTCTTCTGGATTTGTAGGCACTCTCCCAGGTCAGACCATCTGTTGATATTTTCTAGATGGAGCTGTGACTGGTAGTGGAGCTATGTTATTCCTCAGGACTCTATCCTTGGTCTTCTGTGCATTTCTGTGAAGCAGCTGGTGTTCTTTCCTCAGTTTCCACCATTTAATATATGCCATTACACATTTATATTTTTATTTCCCCAGATATACCAAAGCTAAGAAGCTTGGGAAAAAATAGCAAGCATATATCCAGTACTGTGAATGAGAATTTAGTGACATGATCAATAAAAAATAGAGAAATGTTATAGTCAGTATCTTGTAATGAATACTTTTAGAGAGTCAATTATTTATCAAAATGGATTCCTATTTTCCTCATGCATGGTGTAAAGTATTACATCAGGGGAAAACAATTATTTCTTGAGCATTTAATATTTAACAGTTACAAAGTGCAGCAATTAAAAATTGTTTCCATCTGGTCATAACTCCACGATAAACATGGCTCAAAAATTTTTCTGGCTGAATAGTGTACAAGATATATTAACAAGCCTATTTAAAGCCAGCCTTTAAATAGAAAAATAAATTGGTATTAAGAAAATCACACAAGAGGAGGAAAGAAAAGGAACCTTTTCTAAATACAGAAAGTACTTAATAAAGTCTTTGAATGCAGGAGTTAGCTCCTTGAAAATATGCCTACTATGTGTTGAGCCCTGTGCCAGAACAACCACTATCCTACATGGTATGTGGCTATTACAGGTAGAATATACCCAATATGAAAATCCAGCTCTGCAATGCTCCAAAATCTGAAAACTTTTTTTTTCCCAGTACTGGGGCTTGAACTCAGGGCCTTCACCTTCAGCCACTCCACCAGTTCTATTTTTGTGAAGGGTTTTTCGAGATAGGGTCTCATGAACTATTTGCTTAGGCTGGCTTCGAACCATGATACTCCTGATCTCTGCCTCCTGAGTAGCTAGGATTACAGGCATGAGCTGCCCCAGCTAAAATCTGAAATCTTTTGAGTGATAAAATCTATGCAAATAATCCAAAAATCTAAAAAACTCCCAAATCTGAAACACTTCTGGTCCTAAGCAATTAAGATAAGGTTACTCAACCTGTACCAGTAAGACTAGATTACTACAGGTTTTAAAAGTATGATAATCTTTTCAGGTGACCTATGGGACAGACTGTTAGGTCTTTCCAATTTCAACTGTAACTTTCATATGGTGGTGTAATTGAAACAACAGAACACTTATACTTCATTGTCTGAGCATCAGATATGATGGTACAAATGGGTGGGGAATGCAAATTTAGGAAATCTAATAAATTACTAAGAGTATTAATAATTGTACTCAATTCTAAAGACCCAAAACAAGCAACAGGAAAAAAAAGACAGTGTAGTCATATGTCTAATAAGAACAAGAATTAAATCCAAAAATATTTACATGTTAGTAAGGCACATGCTTTGACCAATTACAAAGAATGCTAGAAACTGCAGGATCCTAGAGAACTGTGTTTTCAGGTATTAATCCTTCAGTTGGCCAGCTATTAGGATATGCAGGAAGGTCCCAGGAGGAGGGCCAGGGTGGTAGGTGGTGTGGCACTTGGGGAAAGGCAGTAAGGTGAGTGATTATCAAGTACTGAAGTACGTGTAGAACTACAGAGGTACAAACTGGCATAACAGCATCTTTGAGTATGATTCTACAAGGACCTGGTTTTCCTTACCAACATTGAAGATCTACTAATTCATTTCCATATTTTACTATAAGATAGCCAAAACATTTAGAGAGGAGTTTATGCATTTATCTACAACCTAACTAGGGATCTTTGATCTTTATCACATAACCAAGTAATAGAAATATTTTTATCATTAATGAGAAATTAGGGAAAATGTAGGAAAGTTCTATATTAATAACCCAATAGAAATAGGACTTTCAGTTCCAAACTATAAGACTCAGAGAGCATAAGGATTAGAGTGATTACTGATTAATTATAGCCCAGATACAATATAATTAATTATTTCTATTACTCTTTAATGGAATCTGATAAGGTAGGTATTATTATTGCCATTTTACCGATGAAAAATTAAAATTCAGAGAGGCAAACAACTATTTTGCCCAAGGGTATAAAGCCTTTAAACCTAAACTCAAAGCCTATGAAGGACTGTAACAACTGAACTTCATTTCCTTCTTAGCTTTACACTAAATTGTGGTATTTGTCCCAGGGATGGCTTAAAGGGAAGTCACATTTGCTAGATTTTTCTGCTAAAAACATTTGAGTTAAAGTTCTCCTTATGCTCTATAAGTAAAACAAGAATAGACATTCTCCTCTAAAATACATCCTAAAGTTGGTGAATAAAATGCTATTATATTTGAACGGAACATATATAAAGATGAGTGAGGGTCTGATTTAGGTTTCCAAACATCAAAGTATGATCATAATGGGGGTTCTTTAGGAATTTCACTAAAGCACTGCCCACCATGGACTGGAACCATGCTCCAGGAGGCCTTTCTGAAATAGTCCCAGATAATGAATGACCAGAAATATGAGAGAGAGGTGTCAACATATTACATGGAAAAACAAAAAGAACGTTTATCCAATTTAATGGTATCATACTTAAAAAACTGTGATGACTGTAAATGCTCTGTTTTAACACTCACCAATTCTTATTGGGACATGAATTAGAGATAGATAAAAACTAATGTATACTTAAAGTATACAGGATGATGTTTTTAGGTAATACACAAATACTAACCCAATTTACATAAGAGACTCGAGCATTTACAGATGTTAGTATCTCCGGGAGGGGGATGGGAACATAGAGCCAGGCCTGCATAAGTAGTGAAGGACAATTGGATATATGTAAATCCTTGAAGCAGAAATCAATAGAAAATTTCAAGATGCATGTGACAATATTCAGCTTCCAAAGGCATCTGTACAAATGTTCAATAATTAGGGGTGTGGCTCAAGTGGTAGAGCACCTGGTTACCAAGTACAAGGCTGTGAGTTCAAGCCCCAGTATCACCAAAAAAGAAAAAAAGGAAAAAGGAATTTTAGTTGGGTGCAAGTGGCTCATGCCTGTAATCTTAGATACTTGGGAGGATGAGATGAGGGTGATTTGATGACAACCTGGGCAAATAGTTCATGAGACTCCCATCTCCACACTAACCAGAGCAAAATGGATTGGCAGTGTGGCTAAAGTGCTTGAGAGCCTGCTTTGCAAGCACAAAGCACTGAGTTCAAACCCCAGTCCCACTAAAAACAAAAACAAAAAATAAACAAACAAAAAACTCAAGCATAATAATTATAGTGCTAATTATTTATTGTATGAAGTGAAATAGTTTTTGAATAAAAGTCACCTACTCCATAAAAGGGAATGATTCTTGTTGTACTAAGTCAGGAATTTTACAACTTGGGGCATTGCTGTCCAGAAAGTCAACCACTGGACACTACAGGGGTCCCTGCAGTTTAATCTATTCTCTCCCATATGAGGCAATGAGTAGAACAGGGACTTGGGCATTTCTGAACAAAATGAGATACCTAGTTTCTTACAAAAGACTTAAAAAATAAAAATTCCTTACCAGGAAGTTCCAGTTGGCATTAATTTGAGTCACCATACCAGAGATGAACACGCCCAGGAAGAGGAGGGAGAAGAAAAATGCTGTCACAGACACAAACATGACCCATCCTTGCAGTAGAGGTAGAGGAACATTGGAGGAGGCAACCAAAATCCAAACAAGACCCCCAAACAGCTGAAAGAAAAAACAAAAGGAGGTAATAGGTTTGCTTACAAGATAGCTGTTCTGTTATAGAATTAAACATTCTTGCATCAACTTCACTATTCCCTGTTTCTCCCCAGGTCCCTGCACACATTCCTACCACCCCATTTGCACCAAGCCTCTAACATTATGCAAAGTACCTTCTTCACCCAAGGGAAAGGACAGTCCTTCTACTCAGAAGGCTAACCTGACTCTATGCCATACCTTCATGATGGATTGTCTTCCTTGGCCCATGAGCACACACTGCATTATGGGAAGATATCTAAAAATATCTTCCTGTAATCCTACTGCCTCTCTCATAACTCCTTCCACCCCCTAATCCCCCCACCCCCACTGATGTACTTTTCTTTCGTGTCACCAGTTTTACAAATTGCTTGGTCTCCAGTTCCTATCCTTCTAGTTCATTCTTCAAACTGTTATAAACTGTCTGGCTTTCACTACTTCTGAGAGTTTGTTCAAGAATAGCTACTACTTTATAATTTCCCACACCCAATGATCACTTTCAGGTTTTATTGTGGCCTACTTGTATACTCAATAATATTGTATATAGAGGACAGAGGATAATAGTTGCAGCTGTTGTACTTGATAACAATAAAAGCTACTATTATGTATTTGCAACAATGTGCTAGACATCATAATACACACTTTAGATGGACTTGACAGTCAGTAAGGAAGAGCTACATGTCAAGCCCTGTGCTGAGGTTGGGAAGAAAATGATAAACAAGCTTTACTTGATCTCTATCATCACAGAATTCACAGTTATATTATAGGAAAGGCACAACTAAGCAACTGATGAAAATGCTCCTTCATAAGTGTCACATCTGAACAAATACTGGGCATTACAAATACACACTGCAAGAGCTCTAGATCCAGATTTGAAAACTCAGAAAACAAGGAAGTGACACAAAGTGACAGAGTGATGCAAAGGAAAGCTTAGTGTTCAAGGAAAGAAATGAATCTTGAGATGATTGGGCAGACACTGAGAGAAAGCCTGGCACAGGGGAAGAACACAGACCAGCAGGATATAAGCACCTTGCACCAAGTGACAATAGTGAGAGACATGGGATGGAGAGACATGGGATGGAGACTGAGTTTAAGGATCCTAAGGAAAAGCCAAGGGGATGAACTTCACCCAAGGGCAACAGGAAGGGGTTATGATCATCTTAAGCAGGAATGAGTATGTTTAAAATTAGTATTCAGAAGTTTTTCTCACTAGACAATGACTGGAGAGGAAAGGACACGGGGTTGGTGACCACATATAGGAGACCATTACAACTACAGTGTAAATAGCATGAGGTCACTGAGGACAGAGAGACATGAACGGATTACAGAGAAATTTAGAAGTAGTATGAAAATACCAACTGATCAGATGTAGGACAAGACAGAAAAAACCAGAGAAAATATCCAGGTTTCTGAGTTGGGCAACTAATTTTGAGTATAGGAACATAGAAGAGAATCAGGGGAGAAGGGAAGAAAATGGGTTTTAGGAATCTAACACCATCAGTTTCCTTCATATGGCTACACACTTTGCATGCACAACAGGCCTTTTATGATCTGGCCTTGTCTTATTCCACTATGCTCTTCACATTTTGTATTACAGGGAAAAAAATCCATAGCTCAAAGGCAAAGCTCTTTCACATTTGAGTGGTATACTACTTGCTGGCCCAGAATGTCATTCCTCCTGTGTGTATTTGAGAAACTCCCACTCATATCTAATTTCAAACCCATCATCTAAAAAAAATCTTTCCTGCATTCCATCTCATACTCAGTTACTCCTCCCTTCTCTGGGCACCCTCCCTAGTAGGGATTGCTTACAGCGATGAGACACACAGTAACTGAATCCTCTTGGCTTTCACTCCATCTGCAGTAATAGATCTTGTTGGCAGCACAGAACTTTTTATGTCTCTGCATCTCAAGCCATTTATTAATCCCATAATAATTCTTTTGTAACTACCAATCAGGTAGTATCAAAAACCTAGGCTATACACTTGTCCCAAAGACACCTCAGGCAGGTGAGAATCCTACCTTCCTTCCTTCCTCCTTCCCTCTCTCCCTCCATTCTTCCTTCCTTCCCTCCCTCTCACTCCTTCCCTCCTCCTTCCCTTCTTCCTTTTTTTTCTCATTCTCTCTCTCTCTCTCTCTCTCTCTCTCACACACACACACACACACACACACACACACACAGGACACTCAAATATTTGCTTATTGAACAAACCAGTGCCCATATGAGAACAGTCTGAACTCCAAATATAAAAACCAATAATCATCTGTATCTTCTTCTGAAGCATCTAGATGATATCCAAACTGTGCAAATCACTAAAAGTTAAAAACGCATGTTTTAATTCAAGTTTTGGAAAAGAAAGGCTCAGTCATATAATTTGCTACTGAAGAAACATTTTTGAAGACATACTAACTTAACATTTGGGTGACAATTGAATGATAAAGTACTTGTTTAGTAAGCTTGTACTTGTGGTAATTTCTATTTTTAAATACAAATTAATAATCAAACCAAGAAAATTTTATAAAATAAGTCTAAGTAAAGAATATTAGTACATATTTAAATTTTAACAATCACTTTATCAGAGATCGTTAAAGAAGTAAGTTTGCTCCTGGTAAAAGATTATTTACTCTTCTATACCACGTAGTAAATACTTGATGGTGATTAGAATGTCTTCAGTGGTCAATCTTGAGCTGGGATGTAATTTAGTGGTAGAGTGCTTGCCTAGTATGTATCAGGTTTGAACCCCAGACCCCCCCAAAAAAAGAAAGGCTCAATCTTTTTTTCTCTAGATTATTCCTTCTGACAGCCTTTTCTTACTTGCCCACTACAAATAACCTACTTTACTTTAAATATATTTTAAGAAATGTACATTGTTGTTAAATATCTATTAATTTAAGAATCATTTACTAAAAAAAATTATGTGCAAGTCTAATAGCTAATAAAGAACAACTGGCCACTATTTATTAGGGACAGGCAGAGAAAACAGATAAGCATGGTCATATGACTTAGGCACTGTGAAAATTTCACACCTTTAAATAATCCTTTGGAATTAAACATAGTATTTAATAAAACTGGACTAGATATCCAACAGACCAGCTGCAAACCTACTGCTAGGCACTGTAGAATATTCAAGAAAAAAGCAAAAAAGGCAAGCTTCTGTCTTCAGGAGCTCTAACTAAGGGAGAAATAGACACCATTAAATCTGATTCAGGAACAGATTGTGGTGAGTGCTATAAAAAGAGCTCAGCACAGTGTGCTCTGGGAGACTGGGAGAGGGGAGGAGAAGTATAATGGGAGTGAGCTGGAAAGGTAGGCTAGAAGGCAGGTTTGAAGTTGGCTTTCAAGAAAGACAGAGGCTTGGCCAGAGGAGCCTATAAGTACAACTGTCAAACTCAAAATTATAGGCTTTCTCACATCTCAAAGGCTCGGAAAGGAACTCAGTGCTCACATGAAAAGCAATCCCATTCATCTTCTCATTTATGGTATGAGTGCAATGCGGCAAGGATGAGAGAAGGGGTGCATGAATGGCCCTTCCCTCTTTCTCACATAAATATATATACCATTCCTAGGTCAGAGATACTGTGAAACCCGGGTATAAATTCTGCTCACAAGCTAGCTTTGGATGACAGAAAATGAGTAGAGGATGTAATTAAGCCCACTTTAGAGATCTACCTTCCTCATTTCAAGAGCAGCATGGCGCTGTACAGGGTCACTGTCTTTGATATAATTATTATCTCCCTACTTCGTGATTTCCTTTTGACAAAAAGTATTTTAACCCCCCATGTTTCCCAATCTAGCTCCACTAGTAAAAACTGAGTTTTCAATAATAGTACCAAAGCCTGTGTATTGGCTCTTGTAATTCTGTGCTTCAGTAAGCTGAGTATTTATTAGATACAGTGTAATTATCAGTGCCCCTGCTTGGTAAGTATGACTACAGAGGGAGTCCTGTTTTTAGGGGTGAAAAGAAAAGCATCAAATTGGTTAAAAATCTGAGGGAGAGGAGCTGATAAAGTATCAGTGTACACATTATGAAGAATGATATTCAGAGTGCCATGTTTCACCCATATTGTTCTCATCTTGGATCTGACCTGTGTACCACTGCCTTCCATTGCTCCCTAGTGTTTTAGAACATCTGATAATCCACATAAAACTGTCAAATGCACCTCAATTTGAAATTTTTTTAAGAAACAATGTCAAGACTCATGACTCCAAGTTCTAACAAAAAAGACTACTCTAGTTTCAGGTACTGTAAAGGTAAAAAAAAAACTCTTAAAAGTAGGTATCAGTCTTTCTGTCATTGATTACACTTTACCTTTGCAGCCCAACTTTAGGTGAACCTGGAACACACACTAGATACTCAATTATGTTGAGCTGCAGTTATTAAGTTGCTACCCATTCCTAAGACAACTGATAATTTCTTGACACTTTAGCTTGACCTTTGTAGACCCAAAAGGAAGGACCTGGCTGAATCCCTCCAGTGAGAAGACCAAGGAAGTATTTATTCACAAAGCACATTAAGTTAAGCTCTCAGAGCTGGAGATGAAGCATGTTTACTAAAATCTGTGGGCTGGTAAAAACCGTAGCCCCATGGAAAAACATGGTATTGGGAAGGAAGCGACTCTTGCAATCCTGGCTGTATGGGGTATGGATTTCTCAACTTGTCTCCTATTTGGATGGCCTGTATATGCTCCCAAAGGATTCCTTTTGCAAATACTCTTTTTTTTCCTTTTCAAATGTCACTTATTTCCTAATAACCTGATTTTAAGCATACACTCTGACATATTAGCTAATAATTTTCAAACCAATTTTACACCTCTGTCTTTGTATACCTTTACTATTGTACTAAGTAAACAGGCTAATTTGACCTATTTCTCATTCTCTGTAGTGAGAATAGAGAAAAGAATGTGAGTCTGAGGGATAAAAGACCAGTCAAAATTCCTCTAAGGAAAAATACTTCACTATTTAGAATTTT